GCCGTCGGCTCACGGTGCGCTGGGCCGGGCTTAGGCACGTGGCTTCCACCCTCCAGCTTGCCCTTGCCGTGGGCATCCAAGCAGCTGCCAGTGCCTGGCCTGCTACCCTGACCACGGTGGGTGCATGGGGGTGGCTCTGAGCTGGGGTCTGTGGCCGAGGGCAATGGTAGGGAGTGTCACATCTGTCATAGTGCTAGGGATGGTGGCCGCTGCAGACACAGGGCTGAGGCTCGTGGGCCCCACCCGGGCATGCTTTTCTCCCACTGCTTCGCCCATCTGGTGTCTGGGAAGGGAGGCCTGGTCTTGCCTCCTGGAAGGTGCTGGGTACGGGTGGCCAGAGGCCAGGCCTGGCTGGGCCAGGCAGCTGGCCAGGCTGGCGCGGTCTTCCCTTCCGCACAACTGCTAGAAGGAGCGGGCCACCAGGAACATGGAGGCGCAGGGCCTGCACTGGGCCCTCGCCTGCCCGCCTAGGGCGGCCTGCAGACCCGGGCAGGGAGGCCTAGGCTGTGACTGGTTTGTGCTGATGCTGATCTTCCTGTAGGGCCCCACGGGAGAGACGGGTCCAATGGGCGAGCGAGGCCACCCTGGGCCCCCTGGCCCTCCTGGTGAGCAGGGACTCCCTGGCCTTGCCGGAAAAGAAGGCACGAAGGTGAGTTTCTCGAATCTTCCATGCCAGGCCAGGCATTTCCCGAGCGGTCATTTCGGGACTTCGATTTCTCTTGCTCTTTTCTGGAGGCTGGCTAGCTGCTCAGTCAGGCTCTTTATGCCACTTTGCTCCGAAGACAGAAATCTAGCCCCAGGCTGGATCGATTTGAAGCAGGACCAGAGCTGACCTGACACAGGGAGAGGCTTGTGAAGGAAGCAGGCCCGCTTCGTTCTTGGCCCCCGCTGCCGCCCTGTCCCAGCTCTGCAGGAGGGCTCTTCCACCCCGTGTGCCTAAAACCATCACAGTACACAGGGATCCTTCACAAACCGTCCACCAGGGCCGGCCCTGTGGCCTGGATCCCACATGGCCCATCACATGGTTCAAGTCCTGGCCTTGGCGACTTGAAGAGCACTCTGGGCATGTGCTTGTGCATGCCCCCAGTCCCGACAGGATGGACACACGGAGGAGAAGGGCTTGTGGTGTGACCCTCCTCTCTGTCTCTGTCTCTGTCTCGCTCCGGCAAGTGCACAGGTCTTCTGGCAAATGAGATAAAAAGAAAAAAAGACCTGCTGTTCTACGAGGCAGAAACGTAGCCAGACATGAAGAACTGCCCCTACCTGCTAGCCCCAGCCCTGGTCATCCCTTTAGGTGGCCACAGACGGGTGCCCTGGGTCGGGAGGTCATGACGTCTTGTGTATGAGCAAGAAACATAAATAGCCCTTCTGTACCTCTTCAATAAGAGGCCCACAGAGCACAAGCTCCCCAGCCTTTTGTGGGGCCCCACCAAGAGCACCCTTATAATAGGAAGGTGGAACAGACCAAGTGCTGAGAGAATGCACGTATGTGTGTGCGTGCGTGTGCAACGGGTGCACTCCATCAGTGTACGTGTGCTTGAATGTAGAAGTCTTTCAGAAGTTCGTGAAAAATGTGTATATGGAAGAGCTAAGAATGGGTTTCCAATATTTTTTGCACCAAAATAAAGTTGTACTTTAATCCATTTTTCTATGAACTTTTGGAAATCCCCTGGTGTGTGTACCCACGCGTGCGTGTGTGCATGTATCCCAGACACCCAGAGTTTGGGTTAGGAAGGGGAACCGAGGGCGTGTGACTTGCTGATGTGGAAAGCCCCTGGACCTCCCCCCAGACCCCGTGGGGCCTGGAGAGAGCAGGGCTGTAATGGCTTTCGGGGTACAGCCCACGGTGCCTCTTCTCAGAAAACATGCCCCCCGGCATGCCCGAGCACGGCAGGCTGTACCTGCGACGCCACACTCCCCTGTGTCTGAGCACAGCCGCACATCGGCCCCGACTGCGGAGAAAGGCCCTGGCTCCCACTCGGCCTGAGGTGGGCCTGCGGGACTCGGTGGCCTGGACCTGTGCAGTCCGCTGTCCTGAGTCCACAGCAGAGCTAGCCTGCGTCCTCTGGCTGCGAGCCTGACCGAGCTGCCCAATGAACTCCAGGCTCAGAGACCTGAGTGGCCAGGGAGCTGCACGGGACAGATCCCAGTGGTGTGACAGCCTGGCCTAGCACCCTGCAGGCCTGGCCCTGGCCATCCTCGGAAGCTGACAGGAGGGCCGGTCATGGTTCTGGGGATAACTCACGTGTGGCTCTGCTTTCAGGGTGACCCAGGCCCTGCTGGCCTCCCAGGAAAAGACGGACCCCCAGGATTACGCGGCTTCCCTGGGGACCGAGGGCTTCCTGGTCCAGTGGTGAGTGAGGGCCAAGCAGGGGTCGGAGGGGGTACGGTCATGGCCCAGTGCCTCTTCCAGGTCCCTGACCCACTGTCACCTTACAGGGAGCTCTTGGACTGAAAGGCAGCGAGGGCCCCCCTGGCCCGCCAGGCCCTGCGGTGAGTCCTACCTCCTCAGTACCTACTCTGCAGGCGAGATGGGGTGTGGAGAGCAGCCCAGGTTCCCGTGTGTTTTGAAGAGGGCCAGGTGCAAGAGGTGGCCTTTGGGGAGGAGGGTGGTCCCGGGGCTGTGCTGAGTCGGGGCTGCAGAGGGCCAGGCAGTGTGGAGGGTGGGACGGGTACCTGTTGCTGCTCATGTCTCTCTGGAGGGGAAGGGAGGGCAGGGACACAGCTACCCGGGTCCTGGAGCTGGGCTCTCGCACGGACCTGGGTTGTTGCAGGGGACTGGGCTGTCGAGGCAACTCCTGGTGGAGGGATTCTGGCCTGCAGTGTATAGCGGCGGATCCCCCGACTCCAGGGTGGGCGCTCAGCAAGGCCCAGCGCTTCCCTGTCCCCAGATGCCAGGACAGCTGCCCCTTCCTGCAGCAGCACAAGCACTGAGTCCCCACCCACGGTGAACACTGTAGGATGTAGTGTCCACTGTGTCCAGAAGGGTCCCGAAGGCCCCTCAGCTACAGCAGCTGCCCGCCCCTGGCTGGGCTGGGGTCCGGCCACTAAACAGCACCCTGTTTTCCTGATGGAATCATGGCTGTTTGAGAGACAGCGATGGGGTGGCCACCCTAAGCGAGGCTGCCTTGCTCCTGACCAGGGTGGGCGGAGGGCCTCTAGACAGCAGTGGCTGCTTGGTGTGACCCCAACGGCCAGGTGCACTGTGGCCAGCAGGGCCTACCTGGTGAACACAGCGCCGAGGAGAGGTGCAGAAAGTGGCAGGCAGAGCCCCAGGGGAGCCTGGCCGGCTTCAGAGAGACCAGCGAGGGCAAGCTTGGAGGAGGATGTCCCCAGGCCCTGAGGAAGAGGCGTGTGTGAGGGAAGAGCTGGGGGCACAGGGCCAGGGTGCCTCAAATGCTAAGCCCAATGGCTGGAGCTTGCCCAGGGCCACAGTGAGCTGCTGCAGCCCCTGGGGCAGGTGAAGGTGCGACTGTGCGGTGCTTCATGGAGCCACGTCTGCGCGGCTGAGAGCCTTGACATTCCTGTTTTCCTGTCCTGCCCAGGGATCTCCAGGAGAGAGAGGCCCGGCCGGTGCTGCAGGGCCCATCGGCATCCCGGGGAGACCTGGGCCCCAGGGACCCCCAGGGCCGGCTGGAGAGAAAGGGGCCCCTGTAAGTACTGCCTTGGCTCGGGGGGACCTTTCCTCAGAGCCACTGGGATCATCCCATGGCCAGCTTGTCCCTCCCCTGGGGGTGGGTGGGGACAGCGGTACAGTTTTGGACCACCTCCAGGAAGTGTGTGTGTTCTTGAGCATCCTGACTGAGGTCCGTGGGGAGGACTCCCTGCACTGCCCACGCTTCCAGCGAGTGGTCGAGCTGGAAGGAGCCCTGGGGAGGGGCAGCGAGGCTCAGCCCTCCATGCCTGCACAGCGAGGTCCTGGCAGGATCCACAGGAGAGGGCTGGAGGCAGCCTGTCCCCTGTGGACCCAGTCCTGCCCAAAGTAGGGGGCCATGTGTGTGGATGGCCTGCCATGTGAGCACCCCCCCGCCATGGACAGACCCATGCTGGTCTTTGCATGAGAAAGGTGGCTGTTTGGGACTGGGGGCTCCCCTCCCTTGGTCTGGGGTGCCCATGGAGGGAAGCCGTGTCTTGTGGTTCTTGAGGGCAGGGAGGGGTGAGTCCACGAGCTGCCGGAGGGTTTGCACAGAGGAGATACAGGAGCTCTTCTCTTGCATACATGCCTTCTCGGCAGCACACGCCATCCCCTTCCCTGGCCATCCAGAGTGGCTCCCCCGCCGCCACGGCCTGCCCGCACATTGCAGCGTCCACCTGGCCCGTGCTCACAGCCGGGGAGCAGTTCCAGCTCTGCCAGGATGGGCCGAGGTCTGGGGAAGTCGGCAGTGCCACCATGACTGGGTGCTGCTCTAGCCAGGCACATGTGTGGACATGTGTGTCAGACAGGTGGCATCTTCTGTGGCTTTGCCCTTGGTGGCACATGGCTAGCGAGGACAGCCTGGTCGTATTCCCTGGGAAGACATTCCCCACTGAAACCACAGAGGGGACTCGTGCCCCTCTGAGCGTCCCTTCAGCCTGCTGTCGACAATCTTGCTGTTGCACCGTCCTTTCCACAAGGCAGCCAGGACGCGGGGCCAGCGGGAGCCCCTGGGCAGTGAGCACAGGCGAAGGCAGGGGGAGCGGTGTGGTCGGTTGTCTCGAGAGGACAGTCGTTCCTCAGAAACCTTGCCAGGGGTCAGCTACCGGGGAAAGCTCGTCTTTCTCCAGAATAGCTCCAGCGAGAACAGGTCGAGGAAAGGCCAGGCAGCACCACGAACCCTTGACGTGGCCCGTGATGTCGGACGGGGATGCCCCGCAGGGCCCTGCCAGGGCCTTGGCTGGAAGAAGCCCACGTCGGTGGGGCCAGGTCTGAAGGAAGGAATGAGCCATGCAGCTGGAGAGGGTGCAGCAGAGCAGGGGCGAGGGAGCGAGCGCCGCCTTAGCTCGGAGCACGCAGCAGGGAGCGCGTCCTCGCCCGCGCCCTCCCCAGCGAGCACACCCTCTTTCTGTGCATCTGCCAGGAGCGGGTTCCCGGCTGAGGCTGCTCAAGTCGCTTGCCCGCAGGGGAGGCGATGGCTGACAGACAGCAGGGACGTAGTTAGGGCCAGCAATATGGGGGACGGGTGGGAGTCAGGACAGGAGAGACAGGTGGGGGGAGTGTGCACATGCATGCTTACACACGTGGGTGTGCATACTTGTCTCTGTGTGCGCCTTTGTTCATGGGTGTGCATGCACTCACATGTGCACATACATGTCCTGTGTGTGCACACCTGTGTGTCTATGGATACACGCACGTGCACATGCATGTCCCGTGTGTGCACACCTGTGTGTCTATGGATACACGCATGCACGTGCCCTTTTGTACAGGTGTTTGTGCACATGCATGTTTGTGTTTCATCGTGTATGTATATGCATGTGTGTCCTCGTAGGCATGCATGTACATGTGTGTTGTGTGTGTACACAAGTCCATATGTGTGTGTACTCATCTGTGTCTGTGTGTGTGCGTGTGAGTGTGTGTGCATGCACTAGCGAGGAGCTCTGTGTGTGCATGCGTGTGTGTGCACGTGCATGCATGCGCACGTTCTGCAGAGAACCGAATGGGCAGGAGGGTTAGTGGAAGCTGGAGCTCGGGCGCTCCTGGCCGCCATCTGAGACAATGGCACGAGGCTCGGGGAGCCCGCCTCGGGGAGCCCGCCTCCGGGAACCCGCCTCGGGGAGTCCGCCTCGGGGAGCCCGCCTCGGGGAGCCTGCCGGCTGGCTCCCATGCAGGCTCTGCTTGCCGTTCTGGGCCTCAGTTTCCCCGTCCATGGAAGAGCAGCCCTTCCTAGGGTGTTGTTGATGAGACGCAGTAACGCAGCAGATGGTTGTGGCCTGGGGCTGGGCTCAGAGCTGGACTCAGCGGGACTGTAGTGACGGTCACTCCCAAGGAGCAGTCCTCTTCCTTCCTGTGGCCTTCTCCGTGGTGAAGCGCGTTGACGGGTGTTCTCACGACAGAGCCACATTTGAGGGTCTTCTTCCTCTCTAGGGCGAGAAAGGCCCACAGGGGCCAGCTGGCAGAGATGGCCTCCAGGGTCCCGTGGGACTCCCCGGTCCTGCTGGCCCCGTGGGCCCCCCTGGAGAAGATGGGGACAAGGTAAGGAGAGCCTGGCAGCAGGCAGTGTGGGACGCGGGTGGGTGGAGCCCCGGCCACCCTGAGTCCCGGCCTCGGTGGACAGCCCCAGAAGCACACAGATAAATGACATTGCTGCCATGCTTGAGGGAACTTAGAAGCCACTTTCCTCTCGTGCAGTTTTGTCATTGCCCAAGGCACCGACTGTGAGTAGCCAGCAGCAAAGGAAAACAGTCCCTGCCCCTCACCCCCACTTCAAACCCACAACCGTGGGGCAGGTTTAACGAGGCCTTGCTGGGCACCTGCTTTTCAGTGTCTTCACCTGCATTGTCGGGGCTCCCTTTCATTAAGCGCGTCTTTATAATGGGATGCTCTTACTGCGGGAGCTCGTATTTCAAACTTCATTTCATGAAGACGGTGAAACCGCGCTCTCCGGGTCAGCTTTCCATTCGTGATAGCTCCGTGACATTTCCGACTGTCACCTCAGGGTAGAGCGCTCCATGGGAACACCGCCATTGGGCCCTCGATGGTCACTCTGTCACGTCCGCAGTCCGACCTGAACAGACCAAGTGAGCCTTTCAGGGGGACTGCCCCCTACGCCCCAGGCTGCCCGCACAGGCTCCGGCCGTCCCGCCAGCCCTGGCTTCCAAAGGGAACCGTGCCAGTGTGGAAACGTTCTTAGGAAAGTCCTAGGGCTCCCTGGCGAGGACGCTGTTCTTAATCCCAGGACAAATGCCCTGTGAGGGGCTGCCTGACGGACTCTTCTCCACCCCTAGGGAGAGGTTGGAGAGCCCGGGCACAAGGGGAGCAAGGGCGACAAAGGCGAGCAGGTAAGAGGCACGGCGGGCAGGTGGCGCGGCCCAGGCCTGGGGCTCGTGCCCTGGACGGCCCGACGGTGGGCAGGGAGTGCCGGCCGCTCACGTTCCTGTTAGCATCTCTGCGTGTGTGCTTGCGTTTAGATGCGTGTCTGTGTGTGTGCACGTCTGCGAGTGAATCTCTGGTGTTAAAAAACGAACAGGAAGCATCGCAGGGTTGTGAGGTGAACATTCTGGGCATCTTTGTCCTTGGAGGTGTCGGTAGTGCAGATACACCTGCCACCCTGCACACTGAGGGTGGCTGGACATTCCGCAGAGGAGCACGCTCACCCAATGCCTGCTCGCTTCCCCGTTTTTTTTTTTTTTTTAAATCTATTGAGAAAGATTTGTGTGTTCTTTTTTAAAAAGAAATTTTTATTCATTTTTTTCACAAGAGACAAAGAGAAAGTCACCCTTGGCAGGTCTCTTCACACTGTGACTTCTGTCCCTAGCTGCCAGGGCTCAGGAGCTCAGGCATACACCTGGTCCCTGGGGCTCGGGAGCTCAGGCGCACGCCTGGCGTGTTTCAGGTAGACTCGGGGTATGAACTCGACTTGGCCATGTGGCTTTTGGCACTGCACAGTGGCGTGCTGCTGCCCGCGTCACCAGAGCTGGGCCGGTATGTGTGTCCTTGTGAAGTCCGTCTTCCTGCCAGCTGAGATGTGCCTCTCGCCCCTGGCCCACTTAGGCCTCTCTGCCAGTGTTTTTATTCTGGGCAGGAGGTGACCCCGCTCTAAAGGGGCCTACTGCTAGGAGACCTTCGGCCGTACCAGGCTCTCAGGGGACAGGGCCTCAGCTGTCCCTTGCTGTCCTCTCTCCCGCAGTCCCTGTGCTGTACCAACAGCGAATGGGTTTGAAGATGGCAGGGCTGCAGGGCCATGGTGCTGGCAGGAGGGCGTGCACATGCTGCCCCGCTCACCCACAGTGGGGCCGTGTGGCCCTAGGGCTTCCTTGTTAAAGGGGCCTCACGGGCCCGCACCGTGGAGTGGGATGGGAGCCATAGGTGACGCACTGTGGCCTCTAGGGAGATGTCGGTGCCAGCCCTGTGGTGACTGGTGGCTAGCCAGGATGATACACTTGGGTTGGACTGAGACTGTCACCTCCCTAGAGCAGCAGCGTGCCTGTGTGGGTGGGACATCCCTCCCGTGAATGACAGGCCTGGGCTCTGACCCTGTAACCTTTGGTCATTGGCCCCTGCTCTGAGCGGACCCTGCCGGAGACCTGATTCAACCCCACCCCGGTCTCCTCCCTGGTTCCCGGAGCAACCGTGTCTGTCTTGTTCCCCACAGGGTCCTCCCGGGCCTACAGGTCCTCAAGGCCCCATCGGACAGCCAGGCCCCTCTGTGAGTACCCGGAAGGCCCCAACCCCGAGCCGCCGTGTTGCCAGTAACTTGTCCTCATCCGCGTCTGGCTGTTTCCCTGCAGGGAGCCGATGGTGAGCCGGGGCCTCGCGGACAGCAGGGCCTGTTCGGGCAGAAAGGTGATGAAGGCCCACGAGGTTTTCCAGGGCCCCCCGGGCCAGTGGGGCTGCAGGTAACGAGTTCCCGCATGTCTAGGTGGGGGTGGTCTATTCAGATCCCGTGTCCTGCTGCGCCCCTCTCGTCTTCTCAACGGGCAAACCAAGATGGGGCTGAGGGGCGTCCTGGGCTTCCCCGTCCATGTGCAAGTGCCCGCAGGTCCCAGAATCCCGGGCATGCCCTGCGCCTCCATGGTCGTGGAAGCCGGAGCCCTGCTGAGCGCCTGTAGGAGAGAGAAAAAGCAGAAACGGCCGCCGCACCCCTGGGAGGGCTGCGCGGCACCCGCAGTGCGCTCGGCTCGTGCACGGTTCCATCAGATTTTGCAACCTCACCGTGTGGCATGCCGCGCAGCAAGCGCGTACCTGGCTTTCTCACTCCCTGTGTGTTATGAGGCGTGTCGAATGTCCTTCGATGGCCTTCGGACACACGACTTTTCATGTGTTTCGGATGACACGATTTCTAGTCCCCATGTAACGTCCCAGCAATGGCTGTTGATACCATTTCTCCCCTGCTGCCAGCGCACTGGGCCGTGCTGTTCTATGGGACACACTTGCCCCTAAATCTCCGCCTTCTCTCCTGCTTCTCTCGGGGAGTTCGGATGGGGGTGCCCTGGCGTGCAGCTGTTGACGCTTGGTTGGCGTGGTGGCCCATGCTGGCGGGACAGCGTGCTGTGGTGGCATCGGCCAGAGCAGCCCCTCACTGCCCTGTCCCTCTCCAGGGTTTGCCGGGCCCCCCAGGTGAAAAGGGAGAGACGGGCGACGTGGGCCAGATGGTAAGTGTGGTTGATGCCGCGGCTGCCCCACAGCTGGCTCGTGTTCTGGGTCTGGGCTCACCGGCCTCTCCTTTTCCTAGGGGCCCCCTGGTCCCCCTGGCCCCCGAGGACCCTCTGGAGCTCCAGGTGCTGATGGGCCTCAAGGTCCTCCGGGAGGAATAGGAAATCCTGGTGCCGTCGGAGAGAAGGTGATGCCTTTTACCTGTTCCAGTAGTTCCCCGTGACAGAACAGGGTGTGTGCGCGCGTGTGTGTGCGTGCGTGTGTGCACAGCCAGATGTGCAGGGCAGAGCTAGGTTGCTCCCACCAGGTGTGTTTTGAAGCTTAGGAAAAGGCTCACAAGATGGTGTCGGGAACTCTGGCATGGCCCTCTCTGACGGCGTCTGCAGTTTCCGGCTGGCCCACCCCATCAGGGTGGCGCTCTGCCCTGCGATCGGCCTTCCCAGGCGCCGCTGCCGCCGCGTTCTCTGCCTTCCTCCCTGGCCCCTCCTCATCTGAGCTGGTTAATTTCAGGGCCCTGGTCCTGAAGACGACTGAAGGCACATGATGACTCCGCGTGTGTGCGTGGCATGTGTGCATGTTTACATGTGTGTCCATGTGATGAGTGCGAGGCTGCCCCCGGATGGCACTACTCTGAGGGCACACACCGTAGTTCCTCTGGGTAAGAGGGAGGCGTAGGTGCTTGCCCCAAGCTCCTTGGGCCGCTTCTGGAGCTGTGTCTGATGTCAGGCGGTGAGACAGGAGCCACCTCTGCCTGCTGTGACGTGGCCACCAGAAATGCCCTGCCAGGGCTCAGGGCCACAGCCTGCTGCTCTGCCCAGATGTGGCCACTGAGGGCACACATCTGTCATCTTCTGGCCCTGGCACACACACACCCCGAGCCAGGGCCCGAGTCCCTGAGGCTTTCGTGTGGTTCCCTCCCTGCCTGGACCCTGGCTATCCCCCGCCTGGAGTGCTATGCCCCAGTCAGCTCCTCTCTGTCACCCTCCACTCCTGAGTCCTAGCTGGAAAGCCTGCAGTTGGGTCCCTTGTTACCTGGACACCTCCTCCCGTGTCCATCGCATGCCTGAGTCTGACGCTGTCGCCCTTCACCCATGCCTGTGCCCACTGCGTCACTCACACACCTCCCAGTAGTCCTGGGCACTTCTGAGGCAGCGGCTGGGGGCCCACCTGCACCAGACGTGGGCAGGCAGCCTCTCAGGCAAGTCTGAGAAGCCAGACCCACTGCCTCGTCGTTGCCCTAACCAGGCTGCCTTTCTCCCTAGGGTGAGCCCGGCGAAGCTGGAGAGCCCGGCCTCCCAGGAGAAGGGGGTCCCCCGGTGAGTGAGCTGCCTTGAGAGGTCTGGACGGGGCTGCAGGGCATGTGCAGAGGGTGCCGGGTCAAAGCTCCACTGTATTTCCACTGAAGTGGGTGTGGTGCCCCTCTGTGCCTGCTCACGGAGTTCCATGAGGAAGAAGGCGTAGAGGAGAGTGGGCTGTGTATGTGGACCTGTGTGTGCCTGTGTGTGTGCACCTATGTGTGTGACTATGTGCATCTGTGTGTGTGCGCCTGTGTGTGCCTGTGTGCGCCTGTGTGTGCCTGTGTGTGTGCCTGTGTGCGTATGTCTGTGTGTACCTGCATATGTAACTGTGCATCTGCGTGTGTGCACCTATGTGTGTGACTATGTGCATCTGTGTGTGTGCGCCTGTGTGTGCCTGTGTGTGTGCACCTATGTGTGTGACTATGTTTATCTGTGTGTGTGCGCCTGTGTGTGCGCCTGTGTGTGCGCCTGTGTGTGCCTGTGTGTGTGCACCTATGTGTGTGACTATGTGTATCTGTGTGTGTGCGCCTGTGTGTGTGCCTGTGTGCGCATGTGTGTGTGTACCTGCGTATGTAACTGTGCATCTGCGTGTGTGCACCTGTGTGTGTGCCCGTTTGTACCTGCATGTGTGCCTGTGTGGACCTGCGTATGTGACTGTGCACCTGTGTGTGTGTGCCTGTGTGCATCTGCGTGTGTGCACCTGTGTGTGTGCCCGTTTGTACCTGCATGTGTGTGTGTGTACCTGCATATGTGACTGTGCATCTGTGTGTGTGTGCCTGTGTGCATCTGCATGTGTGCACCTGTGTGTGTGTGCCCGTTTGTACCTGCATGTGTGCCTGTGTGTACCACAGCAGCGACCACCTGCTGCTGGTGACTGCAGCCACTCCGCCATCCATGACTGTCAGGCCCATCCCCGCTGCCATCACCTCTTGCCAGACTCTGAAGGCCGGGCTGTCCCAGGCCTTGGTGGGCAGGTCGACACACACCGCAAGGTCGGCCCAGAACAGCTTTTGGGCTTGGGGTGGCTGAGGCCTCCTGGGATTCAGTTACGCCCACCTGAGAGCACAGGTTGGAGGGGGTCCTGCAGCCCCGCTGTTGTCGGGGCCAAATCTTGGCCTTTGAGGGTCCCAGAAAGCCAGGGGCTCCTCTGCCTGCCTGAGTGCCCGCGGGTGGTGCTCCCAGGTGCTGTGAAGGTGCGAGTGGGCCGGGCACCTGGCCTCAGGCAGTGCCCACAGGCACTCGGACCACCTGCCTGATGTGTGACTCTGAGAACCGGATGGTGGCCTCTTCCCTTCAGGGACCCAAGGGAGAAAGGGGGGAGAAGGGTGAGTCAGGCCCTTCTGGTGCTGCTGGCCCCCCCGGACCCAAAGGCCCTCCCGGAGACGACGGCCCCAAAGGCAGCCCCGTGAGTAGTCTGTGTGGCGGGGCCTCGGGTGGTGGGGACCGCGAGTCTTGCGTGGACCGCTGGGTCCTCAGCAATGCTCCCTCCTTCGGCAGCCCTGGTTCTGCATGGGGCAGGAGTTCGGGGAGGCCCATTCTAGAGCTGGGAGGCCCAGGCTCGGGTCTCACCCTCAAGCACCCAGGACTGGACGGGTGGATAGGCCACCTGCCCCCTCACATCTCAGGAAAGCAGAGACCGACTGGCCAATGAGACGGGGCCTGAACGGCTCCCGGGTGGAGAGCAGGCCTGGGTGTTGGGATGGCAACTGCCGGTTGTCCTGAGGCAGCTGCTTGGTGGGGTCAGGGTGGGTTGTTGAAGCTCTTGCCCTGTCTCTCTCCTTTCCAGGGCCCGGTGGGTTTTCCTGGAGATCCCGGCCCCCCTGGCGAGCCTGGCCCTGCGGTAGGTGTCCAGAGGGCCCGCTTGTCCTTCCTGCCCTCGTCCTCTGGGGCACGGACCCTCCCACTCTGAGGCTGTGCATCGAGGCTGCCCAGGCGAAGGGGCACGTGCCCACCTGCCAGCGCGGCGGGCGGCAGCAGGACAGGTTTCAGTTCCAGCCAGGAACTGTGGGTGCAGTGGGTGCTGGGGTGCACTTGGGTGCTGTCCAGAAGGCAGCAAGGATTGGCTTTTGTCCCTACAGGGCCAGGACGGTCCTCCTGGTGACAAAGGAGATGACGGTGAACCCGGGCAGACGGTGAGTCCCAGCTTCTTGGCAGAAGCCACAGTGTCTGCCTTTCTAGGTCTCCGTGACTCGTGGGGTCCTTTCCGAGGAAACCCAGTCTGGCTCCGAGCCCCCCATCACGTGTGTCCTTGACTGTGACAGGGCCTCACAAAGGCCATTGAGGAGCTAGTGGGAGCTGCGGGCCCTCTTCCCAGTGGAGAGTTGCCCATGAGGCCCCACGTGATGTGGCAGGCCGGCCCAAAGCCTCCGGGACCCGCAGGACTCCTACAGGTCGCCTCTGCTCGGCCCTCCTGCTTCAGCCTGCCAATATCTCCCCTCGCACTGGCAACGCCGTGCACCTAGAGGTGGACTGACCTCGGGGCCCTGGCAGGCCTGAGCGAGGTGACCCCTGGCTCGCAGAGGCCCCCCTTGCCCACCTGTACCTCGGCAGTCATGGCTGGGGAGGTCCTCGCTGAGGCCCAGGGCTCTGCTGCCCGCTCGAGATGAGCAGCCAGCAGGGAAGGGCCAGGGACGCTTGCTCAGGCCAGGCTCCCGCAGACGTCCCTGCTGGGTTCCACACTCCTGACCTGGGCCCTAGGGGAGCTGCCTATCCTCACAGCTGCAAAAGAGCTGCCGGTGACACCCTGTGGGGTCACAGTGGGGGTTAAGCCAGCTACTGTGTCCCGCCAGCAGGTACCCCAGGGATGAACGTTGTTCCCTGAAGGGCAGCAGACCCGTGGAGATGACTGGTCCCACGTCTGCTGCAGCCGAGCACCCCTGGGCCTCCCTCGCTCCGAGTCTTGCGCTGGCTCTGGGAGAGTGAGGCTGCACCAAGGCCAGCCTGGGCAGAGAAGGTTGAGAGCTCAGTGGGTCTGGCCACCACATCCTAGTCCAATGGGTGGACTCCTAATGTTCTGCACATCTTCCCTAATTCCAGGGATCCCCAGGCCCCACTGGTGAGCCAGGCCCATCCGGCCCTCCAGGAAAGCGGGTAAGTAGCACGTAGGCCTGCCCTGCAGGATCTCCCCCGACCTCCTGCTGGGCCCTGGGCTCTGAGCCTCGCTGCAGGAGTATGGGCGCCACTATACCTTCTCCACCAGTGTCCGTTTCACAGAACTCAGGCCTGCCCAGGCCCTGCGAGGCCCCTTTTAGGACAGCCAATGACGCTGTCAGAACAGCTGTCCTGGGGAAAAGCACCCATGAAGCCACTAACTGCTTTTCCCTTGCTCAGACTCCCTAAGAGAAGGTGGGTCTGCAGGTGGAACCTCGAGTCGGTGCGCCAGTAAACCAAGCTGCTCAGTGCACAGCTGGCCAGTGCACAGGGCGGCCAGCGCCTCCCCTGGGCTCTCAGGACCAGCACGGGGCGGCCGGCATCTCCCTGGGGCTCTCAGGACCAGCACGGGGCGGCCAGCACCTCCCTGGGGCTCTCAGGACCAGCACAGGGTGGCCGGCACCTCCCTGGGGCTCTCAGGACCAGCACAGGGCGGCCAGCGCCTTCCCTGGTGATCTTGGGACCCACCCTTAGGACCTACATCCACGTGGGCCAGTGGCTGGGCCAGCCTCTGCGTCCCCAGCTCTCTCCTCACCCAGGCCTGCGTCTCCCACACCGAGTCTGTCCCTCCGGCTTCTACAGGCCAAGCCACACCTGTTGTTCTCTTACTTGTTCCAGGGTCCCCCCGGCCCCGCAGGCCCTGAAGGCAGACAGGGAGAAAAAGGAGCCAAGGTAACTAGCCTGCCGGCTGCTTCCACCCCATGTGGCCTCCCAGGGGAGGGATGTGGAGAAACGAATGGACAGAGGAGGCCACAGAGGCAGGGCTGGTCCTCAGCCCACGGGCACTCTGTGGCTCAGCACAGCACCGGGTGGAGAGCTGGGAGGGGGCTGGTTGGAGCCTGGATTCTGGCACCACCCCCACCAGCCCCAGGGAGGATGTGGCTGCACAGGAATCAGAGCACTGGGCCCTCTGTCCTCTGGGAGCTGTGAGGCTTCGTGCCTGCTCTTGCCCTGGCCGGGCCTCGCTGACCCGAGGAACAAGGGGCACAGGGCTGTCCCAGCAGCCAGGTGGCCCGCGTGGCCCCGGTTGGCACCTGTGTGTGTCTTTTTGGACATGCTCTGTAAATCACCAAAGCCACATAGAAGTCGTGTGGTTCTTTCCTGCCTGAGAGGTGGCAGCTGTGGACACCCTGGGGTGGTGGGCACTGTTGACAGGAGATGAGGGAGCCCAGCTGGCCGAGGGTATTAGCGGGCTGGAGAATGGCCAGGGCAGCCCCGGGGTATCTGGGACCTCTGGGGTTCTGTCCAAGGCACCAGGGCTCTGGAGTAGTGGTCCCGGGCCAGGGTGCTGGGGCCTCTGGATCTGGGCCCACTCTCCTCTTCACCCCCCACAGGGAGAAGCTGGGCTGGAAGGCCCTCCTGGGAAGACTGGCCCCATCGGTCCCCAGGGGGCTCCCGGGAAGCCCGGGCCCGATGGCCTGCGAGGAATTCCTGGTCCTGTGGTGAGTGGGCTGAGCAGGCCTGGGCAGTGGAGGGGCAGCTGAGGGCAGGGCCTGTGGCCTGGGGCCTCAGCCAGGGCTCTGTGTTTCAGGGTGAACAAGGTCTCCCAGGATCTCCAGGCCCAGATGGCCCCCCTGGCCCCATGGTGAGTGATGCTCCTGGTGGCAGCTGGGAGGCACAGACTTGCTGTCTAGAACCTCTGGGCTGAAGACTGTGACCTCTGCCTTTTCCTGCAGGGTCCCCCAGGACTCCCTGGCCTCAAAGGCGATTCTGGTCCCAAAGGTGAAAAGGTGAGGGGAATTCGGGGCCTCTGTGGTCATAGCTCGGGCTCCCCCCAAACTCTTGGCTTCAAGCTCAAGAAGTGTTGACCCCTCGCCCCACGCGTCTGGCCTGCTGTGACTGGGGATGGGTACGGAGAGGTTGCAGAGCAAAGGGGGGGCGGACACGCCACTTTGGAGACGTGGGTCTGCCCTTGGGGGCCCGTGCTGTTGGGAGACCCGAGACCACTACAGGTGGACAGATCCTCTGCCGGCTGCCGGGGGCCCAGCTGGAGGGCTCAGGGCCCCAGGGGAGGTGCTGTTTCTGGACGCAGTGGTTTCAGATCCCTCCTGCAGGAGGGGTGCAAGCATGGTAGGGCAGGGGCCCTGTCACTCCTTCCCATGGTGACTCTTCCCTTGCATCGGTTCGTCTACCAAGTGGACCTGTAGGCCAAGCAGGTGCATGAGGCAGGCGGCAGAGGGGACTCTCACGTTCACCACCACCACCCCAGGCCCCACAGTGACGAAGGCCGGAGTCCTTCCAGAGCTTTCTGTGGGCTCATAGAAGATAATCGAATGTGCATGTGGCACCAGAACCTGCGATGGCCACAGCTCTCTATGTTCATCCATGAGCTTGGCTCCGGCTCCTCGTAACGGAGCCGTCCCGTTTACCGTAGACACACTGGGGAGGGATCGCACGTGAAGACAGGCGCTCAGGAGGCACCTTTGACTCCGGTTGAGGTCTGCTTCTGGCCCCTCATGGGCTGTCTTAGTCCATCTGTCCGTCCTGGTGGAGCCCGTCGACAGCTGACCTGGCTCAGCAGCCGCCAGGGTGCAGCTGTGCCCGTGGGCAGCCCACATGGCTGCGTGAGCG